TAATGGTAAGAACCTAGTTTGGTCCTGCAAGCTTACAATTCGACACAACACATGCGACATGGTGAGGTTGCCGTTTAAAATAGGAACATAAAATCTCGTTTTCTTGCACTGCTCATATCATTGATTATAATGGTACGGATATAGTTTGATATCACTTGCTTGCGTTGACACAGTAGACACGGTATTTGGCAGCAAGCTTTCCCGCTTCCACATCTCACGCTGGTGTGGTTTTAGTTTGCTGCGTTTGCTGTCATGGCACTCACATGCTTGGCCTCATTCGTTTTGCTGTTTACTCCATTTTTGCTTTTGCTTTTGCCCTGAACCTTTTGTCTTTTTCTACTGTGGCGTCTGGGTCAGAGAGTGACGCGAGGACAGTAGCAGCTCACCAGCCATAAAAATAAAACAAGAGTGCAAATAAAGTCCCAGGTTTCCCGAGCATACAGCGACCTGAGATAAACCACCAGTCCTTTCCCTGATTATGATGTAATGCACATAACAAAGGAAAAAAAGAAAAAAAAGAAAAAAAACCGGGCCACTTACTGTAGGGATGCTGAAGCAATCGATCCCTGCCCTCAACCCCAGAGAAAGGGTTTAAAAGTCAGATGATATAGTTATGGCTTCTTCATTTTCTTGTCTTTTAGTTTCTCTTTGTTTGTTTTTTTGGTTTTTTCCTTCAGTGGAAGGTTATGTAATTCTGTATGATAAATCCCTGTGGGTGGCATATTTATTTTAATGGTTCTCTATGTTGGCGGAGGGGAGCAAAATATTCAACTCTTGGTTACAAGAATACCACAATTAAAGTGCATCTTATGCTGATGTTTATTAAAAGTATACTTACAAGCTCTGTTCCTAAACCTACTGATCTTTCTTCTTAGACAGCACTAGACTCTGTCTGTCATAAACATGACGCCAAGGCTATTCCAAACGATTTGTGCATTATTATGCTGCTTTCCAGGATACCTTGTTTTGCATAAAATTCATGCAGCAAGTATCCTTCAGGGAGAATTTAATCCCAGAATGTATGCGACAAACTCAGTGAAAAAAATTAAGATGACAGTAAGAGGAATACAATTTTAATGCAGAAAGTATCATAAAAAATTTACAACTTTACCCATTATTTGTGTGCTGCTGTACATATTTACATGAAAAGTCAGACTATATTGGAATTAATAGTTGTGACTCCAGTGCACTTTGTGTAGTGCACTAAGTTGCTGCCTATGTAGAGTGTTCCAAATCAGTCACTTGTGCTTTAGAAAGTAGCAGCCTATGTAGACAGCAATGCAGCTCACTAGGTTTTGGAACAGAGCTTCAAGAGAGTCCAGAAGTAAATGTTTGTCCTGTCAATGAAGTGTTCCGCTTTCTTTAAATGATGCATTATCTTTCCCTCGTACAACCCTTTTGCTGTAATCTGTGACTTTATTATAAAGAAAACCATGAATTTTTTTCTTTTTAATTCGACAATCTAGGGTTTTTTTTTTTTTTAAGTAGAGTTGTGCGCAGTTCAGAACTGAATTGAGAATTGCTTTTCAATTCCAAATCAGTTACTGAATTTGAACTGAGGTATGAAATGGGATGCAGATTGCAATTCAAATGTGAAAGGAAGTAGAATTTACATTCATTTAAAAGAAATATGACTATTTTGAACTAAATGCAACAGTCAGGTTCCAAAAGTAAAATTTGATTTTCTCCTTAGCAAAAATTATTTTTTTAAAGACGGACCTGTTGTGAGCTCCGAGGTTGTTTATCGATGATATTTTCTGAAGCCATCTGTTAACATTTTTAAAGTAGTCCTGTTTAACAGCAGACAACATCTGTGATGAAAAACTGCATTACCCATGATGCTGTGCAGAAAATTTGTGCCAAAAGAGCTTGCTGTGAAAGTTCTCTCCCATATCAAGTTGGTCTTCATCCGCTCTCAAAATACTTAAATATTTGTATGTGTGTATATATATATATATATATATGCTTATTATACAATAAACGTAATGTATTTTTTTCTACAGATATAATCAACTTTAAATCCATAGTTTTATATTTCAACATTGTTTTTAATAGGGCTGCATGATAAATCGCATGCGATATTTAACGCGCATCTTGTCAGAAAGCCGGTTCTGTAATCAGCGGTAAATCTCCATTACGTGCGTGCTTTCACATTGAGCAGCATTAACTACACAGAGCCGTTGTTCACTGACGAGCTGCGCAAAAAATCGTGTGAATATGAACGTGGTTTTGCGCAGCTCGTCAGTGAACAACGGCTCTGTGTAGTTAATGCTGCTCAATGTGAAAGCCCGCACGTGATGGAGATTTACCGCTGATTACAGAACCGGCTTTACTGATAAGATGCGCGTTAAATATCGCATGCGATTTATCGTGCAGCCCTACAACAGATACAGGAAGAACCATGAAAGCCTTTAAAAAATCCATAGTGAAGGAATGCAATTTACCTGAATTGGAGTCCGGGAACGACAGATAGCATATACTTGTTTTCTAAAATGAGAGAAACAAAGAACACTCAATATCTTACAATTCATCTGAATTCATGTTTAATCTGACAGGACGATATAAAAGAACAGTTTGGTACCTCTTTTTCAGTGAGTTTGGAGTGGTGTGGGTAGATAACCTACAGTAGAAAAAAATAACATGGAAAATGAAAAAATTTTGTATTTTTAAAACTGCATTTCACAAATGCATAAATGGCACATAGATTAAAATATTTTTAATGCACAAATATTTCATAGCTACTGAATCTTTCAGACATATTGATCACAATGTCAGTCACAGTAACATGCACAAAATGAACCGCTTACACTGCTCTAATATCCTGCTGTACTATAAAACTGCATGCAATTACAGCAAATTGCAATAAAATAAAAAGTAGCAAATTATTAAAAAAATATATACAGTACTGCGCAAAAGTCTTAGGCCATTAGTATTTTCACCAACAACAAAAAAATGGTTTCAAGTCAGTTATTTCGTTCTTTTGCTGTAGTGCGTCAGTAGTATCCGTTTTCATTTTCCAAACATTCCTTTTGCCATTAATTGTGATAATCCAGATTTTTATTTGCACAAGGAGTCTGACAGCAGCCAGTGCTGCACACAGAGATCTGATCTGATCTGATCATCCAGTCTGTCTGGAATGTCATGAAGAAACAGAAGAAACTGAGACAGACTCAATCCAGAAGAACGGTGGCAACGTCTCCAAGACACTTGAAGAAACCTTCCTGCAAAGCTGTACTGTGAAAAGTTTTAGGCACTTGCGTAAAAATGCTGTAACGTGAGGATGCTATCAAAAATAATGCCATAAATAGATTTTCTTTATCAATTAACTAAATCAAATCAACATTTGGTGCAACCACCCTTTTTCACCCTTCTCACAGCTTTTTTCCAAGCTACATTTGCACATAGTATTTCAGGTATCTTTGCAGGAAGGTTTCTTGAAGCATCTCGGAGACGTTGCTACAGTTCTTCTGGATTGAGTCTGTCTCAGTTTCTTCTGTTTCTTCATGTCATTCCAGACAGACGGGATGATCAGATCAGATCAGAGCACTGGCTGCTATCAGACTCCTTGTGCAAACAAAAATCTCACTGGATTATTACAATTAATGGCAAAAGGAATGTTTGGTAAAGGAAACTTATATTTCCCACTGACACACTACAGCAAAAGAACGAAATAACTGGCTTAAATCCATTGTTTTTGTTGGTGGAAATAATATTGGCCTAAAACTTTTGCACAGTACTATATATATATATATATATATATATATATGTTTGGGATCAGTTAGATTTTTAATGTTTTTAATGGAGTCTCTTCTGCTCATCAAGGCTGTATTTATTTGAGCAAAAATACAGAAAAAAAAAACAGTAATATTGTGAAATATTATTTCAATTTCTAATATTGGTTTATTTTTTTAATATACTTTAAAAAAAAAAATTTTTTTCTATGATGCAGTGCTGAATTTTCAGTGTCACACAATCCTTCAGAAATCATTCTAATATGCTGATTTATTGAGTCCAGCTGTCTAATCCCTTGTAGGTGTGTTTTGTCATCACACACCCACATGGTGGTTGTATTTCCTTTTAGCCGTCCTCTTGTGCCCCCATTCCTCCCTCTTCTCCAGCTCTGGCTCTTTTGTAACAGCACTATGTCTGTTTTAACTGTAGGAGTGGCTGTTGGCTCACCGCATGTCTCTCTTGTGTGTGTGTGTGTGTGTGTATGGCTGGTTTTTAGCCTTTTCTGCCCTGTTGCCCTCTTCCTCTTCTCCTACACTGTTTCCCTGCTCTCTAATTTCACAACCTTGCGAATATTGATCCAGTTTATCTTCCTGGAAATATGCTGAGTTTTTAACCAGAATGACGACACGGTGGAGCGAGCGATCTATAATGACAAGCTTAATTGGATTTGTATGGCATGCTGAATTCTGAATCTCTGGCTCTGTGTCTAATATGTTTTTCTTCCTTATTAACCTCTCTCCACTCTTCACTGCATGGTCACAGGGTCAGTTCTGTGCATGGCTCCTGCTAGCAGCATTGGTAGGTTCCTCCTCTTCCTGTCTGTCTGTCTGTCTGTCTGTCTGTCTGTCTTCCTCAACTCACGTAGAGATGTAGTTGCTCTTACAGGTGATTTGAAGCTCAATAGACTTTGACTGTCATGTCACACAAACGACCAGGTCAAATTAGCACCTGTTGATGGAATCTGATCAGTGCATCTGTTTTCTGCTTCGTTATGCTTCTATTCATCTGCAAGAGCACTTGTTTGAAATATTCACATTTCTCTTTCTGAGGTTTCACAATTTACAGTATTTTTTAATCATTATTAATTATTTACAGTAGTATTTAATATTATAATTATTTTATAGTCATTCTGTATATTTTATATATTCATATTCTTCCGTTTTGATTTTATCTCAATTCTGATATTTGTTTTACATTGGCTGATTATTATTTTCATTATTCTTAGTAGTAGTAATTATTATAGGAATTCATATTATTCAATCTATTTTAAATGATTTCTGTTTTTGATTTGGTTTTAACAGTGGCTATTATTATTATTATTATTATTATTATAGGAATTAGAAGTTTTATATACTGTATTTAGATTTATTTTAAACTATTTCAGATTCTAATTTTTTACAGTGACATTTATGTTATTATTATTATTATTATTATTATAGTGTTGTAAAGTTTATTTTTATTTAAATTTCTATGTATTTTACACACACACACACACACACATATATATATACACACTATTATTCATTATAAATCATTAACAGTGGATTTTATTATTGTTTCTATTATTATTAATATTAATATTTATGTTTTCATATTATTCATTTTACATTTTTACAGTGGTCTTTTAAAGTTTACTTTTTATATATTTATATATAATTTATGAATTCATATATATTAATTTTACTTTTTTTTTTTTTACAGTGGCTATTATTATTGTAAATATTACTTTTATTATTACCATCTTCATCAATTCATTGTTTTAAACTGTCATTTAAACAGTATTTGTGTGAAAACACCAGATCTAAGCAAACAGGCTTTTAATAATAGGCATTGTCTTGTCTTGTGCACTATTGAATGGGAAATGTGATCAGATTCCTAGAGACATAGCCCACTTGATCATAAATGACCACACAAATTGCCATTCTGTGTAGTTTGCCGTAGATCATAGGATCAATACTTGAAGTCTCGCCCGATCCGAGCGTGGTGGGCTAACAGCATGTGTAAATCTATCACCCCCACTAACCACTCATGACTTCTCTGGGTACAACTGATTATGGTGATAAATTTCCTTGAGGTGATTGTAATCAGCCTTTTTCCTCTTTTTTTTTTTTCCTTTATTTTGTTTTGTTTCCCATGCTTCTTTCGCTTTGCATCGTGATTGCATGCCATCTGCTGGTTTAACCTAATGATGGCTCGCTGCTCTGTAATATACACCATTACTAAACAACAAAACCAAAAAACAAACTACAAAAACCCTACCAACCAACCAAAACACCTGTTGCCATGGTTTCCATAATGCTCCACCTACCTTTTCATTGCTTCCATGGTTCCCTTCCTGAAAAAGTACCCATGATGTACAGTGCTACGCCTGCTACTGTCTCTGCAGCAACAACTCCTGCCACAAGTGTCCCCTACGCAACAACAGCACCAGCCAATCAGGTTTGCTCCTTTTAAAAGCTTTCTTTCATAAATCCCCGAGCTCTGAATAAGCACTTTGCTACAAATTCATTCCGCGGTCGCCATGGCGATCGCAAAATCTCCCGGCAAATTGCATTTGCGCTCACGACGGTGCTTATTCAGAGCTCGCACATTGGCAAATAGTAGTTGTGTTGTGTTGCATTATTTTCTCGTTTTGTTCTGCATGTCCTTGCTTTTATTTTGATGTCAAGATATCCTTCCTCATCTACACATACACACAAGCTAAAAATAGACCCGTTCTCACACACACACACACACCACTCCATTCTAGTCTGATTTCCATTTATTCTGCCACTCTTTGTCTGCGTCACGGGCTTCGGGAAAGCAGGGAGAAGGTGAGTTGCACTAAAAACGGTGCTGTAGGAGGGAATCTGCACCGGCAATTACAATGTCAGACTGACAGTAGCCACAGACTTGCTTATTATTTCCGTTGTGCACAAATGAACACCATTTCATGTGTTTTTAGGCAAATTCAGAGGTCAAAATGCACTCAAAATAGCTGTAGCATTATAAAAGATCTGCATCTTTTATCAGTTCCCATCAGGCCACTCCCATTCTTTTGTATTGTTCGCTGGAGGGTCACATAAGGAGACTTTAAGGGCTTTCCCACTTCCGTCCTTCTTAAATGGAACCTTCCTGTCAGTCAGTGGCTTTTCCTGTTGTTTCACGGCCCTGAATTTACTCTGCGCTCAGGAACTGGGACGTTGAGGGTTATTTGTAGTCTTGTCACATGAAACTGAACCTGTTTCCTGAAGGGCTCTTGCCAGACGGTTCGAGACTCTTTAGCACCACCTGGCAGGAGAATGAAGTACAGCACGGGGTTAATTGAGCATAAAAGATTTGGTTCATACAATTTTTTAATTGTACAGTATCTTTAATAATCAGTTAGGTTTCAGCATAGAGCCACAAATCTTGATGTTGAACATGAATCTGTTTGCAGCCCGTTTTTACTTAATATGTAATACCTAACTTGGTAAGAGTGCTCTGTTTTTGTGACATTTTCACAATTATTTTTGTGGTTTTGAAATTTATAGTATTTTAAAATTCATTACTTATGATGATAATAATATAATTGTTAATAATGTTTAATATTTGAATGACAATAGCATTTTAAGTTAATTAATTGTAATTAATAAAAAATAAATAATTTACTGCTTAACCACTATTAAATTTGTTAAAATTATTTAAATAATTATCAAAATAGTAATATTGTTAATAATAATTAATTCAAAAACAGTAAATGAAAAAAAAAATTTGTGAAAATGTCACATTTAAAATTAAAATTGTTAATAATAATGGTTTAAGATAATATTTTATTTTTAAAATTTATTAATAATAATAATAATAATAATAAATAATGAATGTAATACATTTAAGTTTTAATTTTATTTATTTTTTAAATTTGAATAAAATTGTCATTTTAGTTTATATGTTTTATATTTTTATATTATTCATTTATTATATATCATTCTATTATCTATTGTGTGTTTTATTTCAATTTCTTTTTAAAAAATACTTAATTATTTTGAGTCAAACTGGATTTTCGGGAACAAAAAGAATAATAATAAAAATTGATTTGATAGTGAAAAGTATCTCGGTATTAACAGGTGGTTCGGACAGCCTTGGTGATGTCAGCCAAAAACTAAAAATCATTTCATTTTGATGCAAGATTACGATTTATTTTATTATTATAAATTTATTATTTAATTATATTCATTTATTGTAAGGTCAGAAACAAATAAAAAAATACATATTTAACAGTTTCAAGCCAACATTAAATTTAATGTTGGCTTGAAACGTGCAAACCTAATGCATTTCAAAATACATCAATTAATATTTACGTAATACATTTAACCAATGATTTATTCAAAATGACTTGAGACTCATGATGTTTGCTCTTAGTAGTGTTGCTTTCGTCAACGAAAATTATGACTAAATATCGTCGTCAACGAACCTTTATCACGTGACGAAAACGAGACGAGACGAAAATGCTGGTCATGTGACGATGACTATAATTAAATGTATAATGCAATATCGTTGACGAATTTAGAACAGTGTTTCCCAACCGGGGTGACGCGTCTGTCGAGAGCAGGGGTGCCGTGTAAAAAAAATCCTTTTTTAATATTTTTAAATTGCTAAAATGTTCAAAAAAGCAGCTATTATATAATATCCATTTCTAATGTCGCCAATAATTAGAGATGCTGTAAATTCAAATCAGAGCGTCTTCCGTGTCTGGAATGGATGTATTCTTGAGTCTATAAGGAAACAATAATATAATAAGATAACTAAAATACAATTTTCATTGACTAAAACTAGACTAAATGTCATCAGTTTTCGTCGACTAAAACGACTAAAATGCTCAGACTTTTAGTTGACTAAAACTTGACTAGACTAAAAAGAGTATGAACGTGACTAAAACTAATAAAAACTAAAATGACAGTTTCACACAAAGACTAGACTAAAACTAAAATTAAAACAGGCCGCCAAAAACAACACTAGCTCTTAGACGTAATATAATACAGGTTTTGAGAGCTGGAGACTGAATACAGAGGCCTTTTCTCTGGTGTTTGCGTCAGTCTCAGACCCAGACAGACAAGCACCAGCGGCCGCTGAGTCATCGCTGCAAGCGCTAATCTTACACATGAGTTTAATTATGCAGAGAGAGAGAGAGATGGGCCGCGGGCAAGTGCGTTACGCAGAAACGAACGCTTGACTGCTGCAGATTTGAGGTGATGACTTTAGCTTGAAGCAAATGAACGCAGGTCACGTCATAATCTACTGAACTGACACTCTTAAGTGTTCAGTGGGACTCGGAGGCGTTTGGTTTCTGAACCGACGGGACGTGCACCTCCCCGTGGGGTGTGAAGAGTTCACGGGACGCCCGTGTCAGATGTAGAGCAGCAGCGCCCTTTGCTGGACACAAAGGGGAGTGACTGAGGACATAGATTTATTGCTAAAAGCTTAACTCTACTTATTTAAAACTGCTGTCAAATTATATGAAGCCTTTTTATTTACTGTAGCCTTTCTGTGTTTACTTGATATTTAAAATAATGTAATGATTTAAAATAACCACGTAGCTGCAAAATATCAAATTATTTAAAGACCCCATGATTTTTAGTGGTTTTAGTTCTTTTCTATAACTTGGCCTGAAAGTAAAAATATCTCTCTTAATGTCATAAAAGTAAAAATATGTTTGATCAGATATGCTCATTTAAATGTTAAAGCTCTGTAGAATTATACATTTTTACATTATATAATGATGTGTTATTATTTGTAATGTATATTTACATTATTATTAAAATTATATTTTATTAATATTTTGTATTATTAATATTAATATTTTAATATTTCATATATTAATATATTTTATTTATATTTTATTAATGTAAATATGTAATAAAAAATAATTAAAATATGCATTTACTTATTTTCATTATATTAAATGTATAATGAAAAGTAATAATATATTTAAATGCTAAAAGTACAGAGAATATAACTTTTATCAGATATGCATATTTAAAGTTTAAAACGCAGTAGAATTATATGTATTATTTACATAATGTATTTATTATTTTTAGAATGTGTATTTACATTATTAATATGGTGATATTATGTATTTATAACTTATATTTATGATTATATTGTTTTTAAAATAAATATGAAATATATTCAGATTATTTATATCATAGTTATATTATTATTATCTACATTTGATTACATTTTCTGTTGACAAAAATTATATTTATAATTAAATAAAGTAGTTATAGAAATTATAATAATTAAATATAGTCATATATAAATGAAATATTTACATATATAATTATATAAATTATTATAAATTATATATCTAAATTATAATATAGCCACATTTATGTTAAATATAATAAATATATATAGGCTAACTATATATGTATGTGTATGTGCACACACACACACACACACACACACACACACATACATATATATTCTTGAGTCTATAAGGTTACAATAATATAATAAGATAACCTTGTTTGAAATGGGTTTGGCTAAAAGAAAATTTTGGTTTCGTCTATACTACTAGGTACTTATACTATATTGACTGGGTTAAATAGAATTGCATTTCTAAAAAGAGACTAAAATACAATTTTCATTGACTAAAACTAGACTAAATGTCATCAGTTTTCGTCGACTAAAACGACTAAAATGCTCAGACTTTTAGTTGACTAAAACTTGACTAGACTAAAAAGAGTATGAACGTGACTAAAACTAATAAAAACTAAAATGACAGTTTCACACAAAGACTAGACTAAAACTAAAATTAAAACAGGCCGCCAAAAACAACACTAGCTCTTAGACGTAATATAATACAGGTTTTGAGAGCTGGAGACTGAATACAGAGGCCTTTTCTCTGGTGTTTGCGTCAGTCTCAGACCCAGACAGACAGAAGCACCAGCGGCCGCTGAGTCATCGCTGCAAGCGCTAATCTTACACATGAGTTTAATTATGCAGAGAGAGAGAGAGATGGGCCGCGGGCAAGTGCGTTACGCAGAAACGAACGCTTGACTGCTGCAGATTTGAGGTGATGACTTTAGCTTGAAGCAAATGAACGCAGGTCACGTCATAATCTACTGAACTGACACTCTTAAGTGTTCAGTGGGACTCGGAGGCGTTTGGTTTCTGAACCGACGGGACGTGCACCTCCCCGTGGGGTGTGAAGAGTTCACGGGACGCCCGTGTCAGATGTAGAGCAGCAGCGCCCTTTGCTGGACACAAAGGGGAGTGACTGAGGACATAGATTTATTGCTAAAAGCTTAACTCTACTTATTTAAAACTGCTGTCAAATTATATGAAGCCTTTTTATTTACTGTAGCCTTTCTGTGTTTACTTGATATTTAAAATAATGTAATGATTTAAAATAACCACGTAGCTGCAAAATATCAAATTATTTAAAGACCCCATGATTTTTAGTGGTTTTAGTTCTTTTCTATAACTTGGCCTGAAAGTAAAAATATCTCTCTTAATGTCATAAAAGTAAAAATATGTTTGATCAGATATGCTCATTTAAATGTTAAAGCTCTGTAGAATTATACATTTTTACATTATATAATGATGTGTTATTATTTGTAATGTATATTTACATTATTATTAAAATTATATTTTATTAATATTTTGTATTATTAATATTAATATTTTAATATTTCATATATTAATATATTTTATTTATATTTTATTAATGTAAATATGTAATAAAAAATAATTAAAATATGCATTTACTTATTTTCATTATATTAAATGTATAATGAAAAGTAATAATATATTTAAATGCTAAAAGTACAGAGAATATAACTTTTATCAGATATGCATATTTAAAGTTTAAAACGCAGTAGAATTATATGTATTATTTACATAATGTATTTATTATTTTTAGAATGTGTATTTACATTATTAATATGGTGATATTATGTATTTATAACTTATATTTATGATTATATTGTTTTTAAAATAAATATGAAATATATTCAGATTATTTATATCATAGTTATATTATTATTATCTACATTTGATTACATTTTCTGTTGACAAAAATTATATTTATAATTAAATAAAGTAGTTATAGAAATTATAATAATTAAATATAGTCATATATAAATGAAATATTTACATATATAATTATATAAATTATTATAAGTCAGACAGGTCCTATTTAAGTGATTTCTTGATTCAACAGGTCTGTCAGTAATCAGGTCTGTGTGTGGCTAGTGAAATTTAACTCAGCTTTCTAAAATAATGTGGTTAATCACAGTTCTTTCATGATATAAGAGGAGGGGCAAGTAATTTTTCATATAGGGCCAGGTAGGTTTGGACAGCTTTTTTCCCTTAATAAATGAAATTATCATTTAAAAACTGCATTTTGTATTTACTTGCATTATCTTTACGTAATATTAAAATTGGTTTGATGATCTGAATCTTTTAAGTGTGACAAATATGCAAAAAATTAAAAAAACAGGAAGGGGGCAAAAACCTTTTCACGGCACTGTATATATATAACAGCTCCATCTAATTATCAATAGCAAGTGCAATCAATGGTTTGTCAGTGTGTCTAACATTGGTACTTCATTTATTTCTTGTTGATTTTATTTCTTTTCCTTCTGCCAATAGTTTGTGAAAGAAACAGCATTGCGTGTTGTTTCTTGGCTATCGATATATACTTCCCCAGATTCCTGATTCTACAGGGAATGTGTCAAACCAGGAAAGAAAACTGCTTGTCAAATAGTTCATGGGGTCTTTAAATGCAGCAGTCCGAAATAAATTATTCTCAACATTTGTTAATTATAGTAGCTGAACCTGAATTATATCACATACAACATCACACTGTTCTTTACATTGCCATCGTCTCATCGGTCTCTGTGTAACCTGCATGTGAACCCTCTCTGGCCTTGCTTTCCCATCATGCCGTGGTGCAGCCGGCTATCAAGCTTCCACATTGTCGCTTTGCCTCAGTGCTCTGCTCACAATGCTGACGGTGTTTCATAGTAACTTTCCACATTTTGCAACTACACTAGGATGTGAAGCTTGGGTGCCACACTGCTCCCTGATCATGTGCTTTTACAGTTTGGCTTGGGCTACTTCAGTAATACATTTCAAGATGTTTTGGATCCAGGCAAAATATTAGTTATACGAGTGCCTGCTGGGAAATTAGACCACCTGTCATCAAATAGTATTGTTTTATATATATATA